GTTTTGTTCGCTAAACAGGTTGTACTTGAAGTTCTTTTCAACAGACACCTCACCAGGCCCCTTACCATACTAACACGCTTTTTCTCGTACCTGTTTCAATGCCAAAGCACCTTTCCTCAGCATGGGCAACCAGAGCTGCAGGCAGAAATACAAAGCCTCTTGCCAGGGCACCTCCTGCTTTTCTGGCTGCTCTTGATGAACTATTCAGACTTGATGAAACCAGGAAGAGAGAAAAAGGGGGACCACCTTAGGGGGCTTCCTCAATATGACTTCCTGCATCCTAAAAATAGTCGTTTTCTACCATATTTTATGTGTGTGTGAAGTCCAGAAAGGGCTCACATCTGAACCTGGTTTAGAAAGAATCACTTTTTGAGAAACTGATGAAGAGGAATTTCAAGTGCTGAACATGCCTACAAAGGTGTAAAGGAACAGTATCGCCGTCTTGCAAAACATTAATTAAGAGCAAAATATTACTGAAGTGTCTGGGCAGGCTACTCAAGTGTAATGAGAAACGGAGGCACAAGGAAAGCATGCGCAGACTCCTCGGTGTCCTCAAGTCAGATATCACTCCCATGTGTCCTGAAATAATGGAGACTTTAGCCTTAGCTGTTGATTTTGTAAAATTCCTAAATATAATATCTGAAGTATCTAAGCTCTGCTTGAAGTCTGTCAGCCTGTTTGACTCCTCCAGGCACAGAGCCTAAAGTTTTTATCAACAGCATCTTTGGCCTTTCTACTGACACTCCTAACAAGGCCTGACAATTAATGCCATTTCCAGGAGGAAAATTTGGAATTGACTTCAGAGCAGCAAGTCATTTCATCTGAGGCACAGGGGAGCCACTGGATAGCAGAGCTGTTTTGTCAGGGACATCCTTGAAACTACTGCTGAGAAAAAGAAGAAGTTCTACAATAAAATATCAGTCCTTTGAGGCCTCCTTTCTCCTTAGTTTTCACTAACAGTGATTATCTACACTGGTATTGGTGTGATATGAGCCACGTTACCTGCCTCAGTATTTCAACCTGTAAAGCCTTGTCACATCAGACCAGTTCTGAGGACACCACCTGAAACATCAGGTTTTCAGTGAAGTGTACTAGCAGGTCAGCTGTGTTTGTCGGTGATCAAGCACACGCTTCGCGAGTTATTTTACAGAAGCCTCTTAGCACAGGTATCTGCTATCAATTAAAAGAAATCACCATAAATTCAAGAGCAATCTGTATTTCTAAATGTCTAGAAACACGTTCTGCTTCCACTGAAGTTTAAATAGAGCCAAGTTTACATAAGAATTACTAATTGGTTGTAAAGGTCATGCCTTTTGAATATATGCATATTGGAGGTATGAAGCCTATTAGACTGTGGTATTATACTTAGGCTCAGTGCTGAATTTGGATTAAACGGTGTTATATTGATTTGATGAGCTGCTCAGATACACTGAAGCTTTAATTGAATGTATTAGAAGATGTTAATTCTAACAGATACACCCTTAAAAGTAGCAGCTTAGTGATCTGAAATTGCTTTCTAGTACAGGCCTTTGCCAGTTTTCAAGAAAGAGAAACGTATGTTTGAGTCCTTAATCTGAGACTGTATGTTAATAAATATCTAAGGAGAGGTTCTTTCTTTTCCTTTTCAATATGAATGAGTGCCCTTTGAAAGCCAAAAGGGAATTGATGTAATCTATTGATTGCCATTTAAATGCCCTTATAAGCTAATTAGTGCAAAATGTAAAACGTTTTTGAGCAGAAACAAGCAACAACCGTGAAAATACAGGAGGGCTCATTTGGCTCTTGGATCTACTGGGGGGACAAATGCCCTGATGTAGAGAGTCACCAGCAAGTAAGGAGCGTGAACAGTGCCTGCCGTGAAACTGTTATAAAAAACAGGCTCTTTTGTTGTAACTGTGAGAGCAATGTCACGCTGACAGCAGTCATCCTGCACGCTTGAAACAGCAATGGTGTGTCTAGCTTTAACCTACATAGCTGGGATAGCATCTATCTGGGAGACATTGTGACGTTTAGGGCAACTGCCAAGACTATAAAATAGGTCACTAGCTGGAGTCTGCCCAGGTCTGAAGTGGCTGAAAGTCATTACCATCTGTTCATCTGAAATGAGGTGCGGGTATCGGTCCAGTTCCTAGCAGATAGGTGTCCACACTGTAAAAGAAACCTTCAAAAGTGATCCTAGTTGGGAATGGGGTTGGCAGAAAGGAGACACAGACTGAAGGCTCTAAAGGAGCTTCTTCTAGCACCTGCAGACAAGATGGTGGGTATCTGAAGCTCATCTATGTGTCAACCCTCTGGGATGCACTAGAAGGCAATTTTTCGTTGCTGCTGTCAGTCTGGCACCTTGCACTGGCCAACAGCAGCCATTTTAGCTTTACAGCTCTAGGAAGAGATACACCCATACAAGCTTCTTTACGGGATCTTGGAGAGACTGTCCTGCACCTCCTGAGTGAAGTCATGGCCCAGCTCCACAGCCAAGTTGCTGTTCTTTGTGCCTCTACACATGTGCTGACCTCCTGCTCACAGCCAGGGAACTTCTCCCATCTCCAGGGAAGATTCAGCTACCCCTCACATGCCACAGCCAGAGTGTGTGTACACAGGCATGCCAACCAGTGCAAGTAAGGACTGCACGGACTGGCTCATGTAGCCATTTTAAGCTCACTTAAAAGCTTCCTTTCTCACTGGGTGGGTGATCCTGACGTGCTCAGCCAACTGTTGCCTAAATGGGTTAAATGCTGGTGGGGAATGGGCGGAGGAGGATATTCCCCTCACAGAGGAAATAAGCATCCCACTGTACCCAGGAGAACTCATGGCTTTTCTGACTCAGACCACTATCACTCCCACTGATGCAGTGAGAAAAGAGCTTACGAGGAGAAAAGTATCCGAAACCACAGAGCAGGCACAGTCTGTGCAGCACGCACTCAGAAACCAAGTGTTCGCTAAGAGTTATTTCAAGTTTCAGCCACCATCACCATCTTATTAAGCAGCTAATAAAGACTGTACAAAAAAGTATTTATGTGAACATATGCGTTTAATCTAAGGCAAAGCTTTCGCCCTTCTCAAGTCAACTGAAGAAGACTCTAATTGCAACAGCTTCATGGCTGCATCACTCTATTCAAATTAATTACTCTGAAAAAGTTAATACAACTGAAATTATGTTGTGTGCCCTGAGAATGCCAAGGAGAGAGAAGCATCACTTAGGGCCCATTCTCCCTCCCACTTGGCCTATCCAGCTCACCCAGAGCAGGCGTTACGCCCCGCTCCACCACTGCCGGGGCTCTGCTCTCCTCCTTCCCCATCCCACTCCTCTCCCTGCTTGATGGAGCTGGCAGCTCCTGACAGATCATTCTCATTTACAGCCCTGCTTTCTCCAGCACCAGGAGAGAGTCACAGCTCATCTCAAGACTATTAACAGCACAACAAAGTATTCATACATTTACCAGACGTTGTATCCTTTCATACGAAACACTCATTCCTTTGATCTCTTGGTGAGAAGGGATTTCCTTGTTATGTCAAACTATTAAGGAAATGAAGAAACACCCCCCATACAACCCCTCTTTCTGTATTAACAGTAACAAGATATTCAAAAGAAGATTCCCCCCTGTCCCCCAAGAACAATATAGTGATGGCAAACAGCACCAATATTTCTAATCAAGTTGTGCTACCTCTTCTGACAGGTCCACTCAACTCATTTTTGCTGTGCAGACGATACCGCCTCAGGGTGATAATTAAATGCAATACAAACTTTTACAACGCTCATGTCACCCTTACAAGGTCAGTGTTTATCTTACAGGATTTTAATACAAACAGAAGCCGTTGTAACATACCAGCCACCACAGTTAATTAGGAACTACTGAGTATCTATTTTTATATAAAGACATCGCACATAAGTAAGGCAGACTACACAAGCTTCATAAAATACCTTCACATTCATTTCCAGCTTTACATCAGATTTATACATACACGTATGTGTGTGTGTGGTCATGTATTGAAATTTTAAGCAAATTCAAGGAGCCCTCAGTATTTCACCATCAGCTGACAATAACAGCAGCAAGGGTTTTTTTTTTGTCTCCCTCCTCCCTCACACTTGCACCTGGCCAGTATGCGTGACAGGCGGCACTGACCACTTTTCTATACATAACAATGTTGGTTTGAATGGCATCTGATTGGCACTGCTGAGAGAGAACCAAGAGCTCCCTGAAAGGGCTGAGCATTTCAGTTCACCCTTGGAAAGGCCAGAAATAAGAGCTTTGCAGGTTACAACAGTTTCAGATACATGAAAGTGGCCTGAGGTAATATTTAGTTTTTAATGACTCTCACCAAACTCGCTGCAGTTCAGCTTGTGCCTTGGCAAGCGCAGAAAGAAAGAATGACCTTAAATAAAAGTGCATACTCCCCCCTACCCCCAAATATTGGAAATCCAGCCTTTCCCTAACCAAGGTGAAAACATACTGTTCTGGGGTACAAAAGTTTCACCTCTGCCTGCTTGATACAGCCACAGCCAGACGCTGGCGAGCAATGAAGACACGGGAACAATTGCAGCAATCAATGCACCATATAGAAATGAATGGCAACGTGCCTCCCATCCCCCTTCTCATTCTGGCAAGTGAACATCGCTGTTGGATGGCATCAACGGCTGCCAGCTGGGCAAACAGAGCAAGTAGGTCAAGAGCATCACTCCTCCAAGAGTTTTCTTTGCTAAATATTGCGCTAACGACTGCGTTATTGCTCATCAGAGCGAGGTTCTGAAACTGGTGGTAAAAAACCCCTTCCTGTGATAGCAGAGGTCAGGTTTTCCATCTTGAGATGTTTCAGGTTAAGCAAAACCACCCACTTTGATAAAATGCCTTTTGATATTAAAATCTGCACTCAGGCCTGTCCTGATTGCACAAAGCAGCTTTCCCCAGAACAGCTATTACAGTTGGGTAAAAACGAATGACTGAAAACTGTGTATTAGGCACTTACAGCTTAGAAAAGCTCTAATGGAGATTTAACAGACTTACTCTAAAGAATTCTTTGGTTGAGCCTGAATCCAAAGTGCCATAGGCTATTTCGGTTTGTTTAGCCAGGTCCTCCGCGCTCTCTATGGGAGAAACCATCCTTTCCACCGTAAGGAAGGCAGCAAGATTAGCAGTGTAGGAAGAGATAATGATGAGAGTGAAGAACCACCAGACTCCTCCGACAATTCGCCCTGAGAGAGATCTATGGAAAAACACACATCATCAAATTGCTTTGAAGACATTCCTTGGTTATTTTTTTTTTTTTTTCTTCATTGAAGAGAAATTCACATGCACAACCTTTTTGTCCAGACCCTTCAGGTATCTGTGAACAGGCGGACTGTGAGCCAGTTCCTGACAGCCTTCCTCAGGAAAGCAAACTTGTACACCTGGTCTTACCTAGTTAAATTCTCTCTCCAGTCTTTCAGCAAGAACAAGGACTGAATGAATTAAGAAATAATTCATCTGAGCCAAGCTCTCCTGACTTCCACAGACCCTTTTGGAAGGTGGAGAAGTCTTTTGCCAGAACACTTTTGTCTTCGCTTGCCCAACCTCTCCCTGAGGCTGGATTTGCCTGCTGCGATATGCCAGCATCGTGTCTCTTTGGGGGCTGCCCAGCTGGTACCTTTTGCTGCACTGACTCTCAAAATGTAAGATGCAGTAAACTGCAAAAAGGCATCTGAGTAAACATGCAAAGGAATAAACCAAAAATGATCCTGTCCCCTTCCCTCATCACAGCCAAGCAGGAATCACAGACTGAATCTGCATGTTGAAGTTAGAAGAGAGGCTGGTTTGGCTTATGTTTTATCTTAATTAAAATTTGCATGTTGCACTGTTCCAAGTCAAGTGTATTCCTGTTTTATAACCACCACAGCAACAGAGAGGGAAGCAGAAAAAAAATTTAATTGTGTTCTGGTTTTGTTGTGTTTTATGTTTTTTAAAAGGATACCATAAGGACTAAGAAAAGGCCTACTTGTAAACATGTAATTACAAAATGCTGAGTGGCCAGGAGGTCTAGATCCTGTCAGTAAGAGCTCTTGATGCTTCAAAGCAATTGAACACCAGGCTCAAAATATTTGTTCAGGGCTGAAGGATGCCAGCACCACACTGCTCAGCTGAGTGGGGAATTTCACCACCATGTACACCATGTGCTTATTCTTCAAACACAGCCTGTTGACCAGGAACCAGTTCAGGAGCTGAGACAAAGCTATTCCATATGTTTTCCCTTAACTCTACTGATACCAGTGGAGGAAGAATCAATCCCAGACACATTAAATCCGTGGAACCTGGCTGCTGTAGTCCTCAGTTTGTGCGAAGGGTAGAAATAGAAAGCAAGAAAACTCTTACCTGTTTATTAGTTTCCTTCAAGCCCTCAGTGCCATCCCCAGACAGTGGGTACAAGTTGTCCTACCAACAGATGGAGACAGGAAAAAAGCGCGAGTCTCGTGATGTGCCCCCACCCCACTCACACAGGGGGGTTAGCTGGCAAACTGCCTAGCCTTGGCCAGAGCCTGAGATTGCCTGAGCCATTAAAAAAAATCCCATTAAATTATTAAGAAAAAAAGAAAGAAACCAAAAATATCCATCCGACATTGAAGAAGACACTAAAGAAAAAAAAAAATCGCCAACACAATAAAAACAGAGAGAGCAATCTGGAATAGGTGAGAGGAATGTGGAGAAACAAACTAAGAGGTGAAACACTGCTATTCTCCACTCTCCTCTGCCCAAGAAACCGAAGCAGCAGCTCCCACTGAGAGGGCAGATGCAGGCTGGTTTCTGCGGATTACAGCACGCACCACTTGCCGGCGCAGTTAGCACCCCAGGGACTGCTGCTTCAAGCCCGTACCAATGTGCAAGGCGGTCCAGGTGGTTACAAAGCTTAGGGAAGCTTGAGGAGTGAAGCATGACCTCTTTCGTTCATCAGAAAGCAATGCCTTTCGAGGTGTGAACTCTGAGAGACATCGCCGTCGCTCTGGCCTGCCTGTGCCTCCTCAGGGCAGGCGCACATCCGCCGGATCACTGACAAGCGGAGGAGGCTTCCCTGCCTTTCTTGAGGGCCTCCCAAAAGGATAAAAGGCTTCCAAGTTTCAACCGGGGCTGTGCTGCAGCTGTGCTCGCTACCAGAAGGCTACCGAGTAGCTGCAAAGGCAAGCTGCAGAAACAGAACTCCAGAATAATGTAGTAAGTCAAGGAATCGCTCTGCCTCGCTCTACATCCTTTGTAGGTATCAAGTGAGCATCTTGGGATTTTACAGATGGCTAGCGTCCTTTTCGGCCAGCTCCCTTCCCAGCTAGGGTCTTTAGCTACTTTGCAAAACTCGATACCCTACACACCAAATCAGCCTCTTACACGGGCCGATGTAATTTTAGCCAACAACAAAGCAGTAAGTCACGTAAGGCTCCCTTTGGAGAGCGGAGAGAAAGAGAGGAGACAGACACCCTCAGAAAGAGATTGACCTCACTTGCTGTAGTGTGGGATGAGTCTGAAGGTGCCCATCTGCCTCGTGACTTGGGAGGGAACCGAGATGCCTAACTAAAACATGGCCTATTGCTTTTAGATGGCTACGTCAGGTGAAATTCATCTCCCTTTTGTTCTTTCCTTCGCTACATACTTCCCATCTTCAGAGAAGACCTGGAGTTGAATTCCTCCTCCCTGCAGCGAGGTGGACAGTTTCAGAGCCAGACTGAGCAGAAGTCTGGCTAGCAGGTACGGAGATGAAACATCCACTTGCAAGACCAGCTTTATCTGGGGCCTCCAGGTTCTTGTGGCCCTCTTCCTTTACAGTAGGTCTTGAAGTAGGAGGACGAAAAAAAGACTTGCCAGGGTGTTTACATAAATTCAGTGGAACTATCGGGAACAAAATAGTACGTTTTCATTCCCCCTAGAGTTTCCCATAGGAAATGTCTTACTTGCATCAGTAGCTGCTCCTTCTGTTAGCAGGACAGACGGGTTGCTGGGATGAAGATGTGCAGAAGACAAGCATTTTCCAAACCAGTGAAACCTCAAGCTCACGCTGCTGTAACAATAAAAAGTCTGCGCCGAGCTGCGTGCTCATACAGCATATTACACACAGAGAAAGGTAAAAATACCGTGCCCCAGAGATCTTGCAACCTGCGTGAACCAAGTCAGACAGATACAGGACAAAAACTGGAGAACAGCTGACAGGCAGGGGAAGGTGGGCATGGCTGGATCCCTTGACGAAGAAGCACTTCCCCGAAGGTCCCGCATGCAAGAGAGGGGTCTTGCTAGATGAGGACCAGAGCTGTTCTCAGAAGAGCTGAGGTCACTTGGAAGAAAACTGGATGTCACTACAGAGTTGTTTCTCCCAGAGTCTTCCAATGAGCACGAAAAGGAAGATTAAACAGCTGCTACTACGAAGCAGTCCGGGCTGACAGAGCTGTAATCGGTGGTGGCACAGGATGGGGCAAAAGAAAAACAAACCAAACCACAAAGCTGACACTGAAGGAAAGACAGACAGACAAAGAGAGTCGAAGAACGAGAACACGGACGAGCGTGGCCTGGCAGCCTCCTTGTCCAAAGGACCCCAGTTCCCCCCAGTCCATCTGCTGGTATGAAGACTCCTTATACCCACTGCAGGGGCTGGTGTAGAGGGATGTGGGAGAAAAAGGGTTAGTACATAAACACCGGGCTGGTAATCAGAGAATACTTGTATGGTTTGTACTGTGAACCACAGAAAGGTTTGTCCATTACTCAGATGATAATTATAGAAAAATCAATCACAGCTTTTAATACCAGCACCACTTTTTCTGATGAAGCCTACCTGTCCAAGTGCGTGGTGCGGTAATTTAAAAACAAACAACCAACGCTTTATCCCAACATGTCGTTTTCTAAATTACCTCAATAAATAGATACTTTGCACGACATTATTTTAAAGTGAATTAGCGTGTTAACAAATGAGAGGAGTAACAAAGACCTGGAACAACAGGATGACGACTCAATTATCAAAATATGGTCAGATGGTATTTTCAATAGGAAGTAAACAGGAAGAGTGCATACCTTGAGAGGAAATTTAAAAGGAAGCATGGAGTCAAATGAGAGCAAATTAGTAACAACAGACAAACAAATATTCAAATTCACATTCAGTTTCCAGGAGAATACGACTTCAAACAAAACCTCACTTATTTATCAAAACAGCTTGAATTTTGTTCTTACTCATGGCCACAAACCATATTTGATTTCCTATAGTACACAAAAATAATAAGCTTCTCACACTACTCAATTTTTAATTGGGCTCTTCTGATCAATACAAGACGGCTGTTATATTGACAAATAACCCTGAACAACTTCGGTGCAAACCCTCCTGGTCTAGAACCCCTTCGTATTCTGAGCACACGCTATCTGGTACCCACGAAGCTGCGAGCTCGGTCCCTTGCTCGCACGCCCAGCCAGCCCTCTACCTCTCCTGGCGGGCTCGTGTGGCCAGGCGGCCCTCGCCTCAGCTACTGAGACAGAACACAATACATAACAGCATCTGAAGCGCTGGCTTGAGATGCTTCCATCATAGGAACTGGCAGTGGGAGTTTCAGAAATACCTAGTTACCCAGCTCCCATTGCTAGTTTGAAAGTCCCACAAAGCCATTCCCATGGCCTTTAATAGGAGTCTCGTGAGTCTTCTGATGTGAAAACAGGGATGTAGAAATACACCCTCTTAAATGACCAACCTCATGAGATAATTTTTAATGAACCTACTGTCTTTTTCCATCAGCAATTAATTAATCTAGCCTCTTTGTTCCACGTGAATAAAGAGCAAAATGAAAATACACGCTCTCATAGAGATTTCAAAGATACTTTCACTCAGAACAGTGTTACAAATTTGACTGTGTTTTCTCCTGATTCCATTTGCTGTACACATCTCACATTAAAGCAAGTTTAATAATCTACTTTTGATCCATCAAAAGTGAATTTTCAATGCTTTAGCTCACTATGCAGGAAACACAGCAGCCTTTGATAGCAGAACAAAACTGCTGGAACAAATGTTGATTCCTTCAAGGGATGCACTAACTCCCATCCTTTGGCTGCTATCTGATTCTGTTTAGATGACTCCTATTAAATACAGAGAGGAGAGTATAGGGATATATCCTCTGGAATATCCACACAGCATACTCACCGAGGATAGATCTAACTAGTCATTAGATGTCACAGCTGTTCCACACAAAGGCAGCTGAAAGAGCCTTTATCAGCAAGTACAAAAGTGATCTCTCCAGACTGCTTGTCGGCATCTCTCTACAAGTGCTGTACGCTCTCATATAAGAAATTTATTCAGACAAAACTCACAATGGAAGAATGAAGCCCCTTTTAATAGCAATAAAATAGTATGAAACATTCATATAGTCAATGTACTGTGAATGGCGTAACCTTACAAAGATACGGATTAAGAATGGAATACTTGGGAATAGTCCCTTCTACGGAAAAGAAATTTGACATTTAATCAACTTAAATCAACATATCGGTCAAAGGAACAGAGTTTCTGGAATTTAAACCAAGGTGTTAAATGTCTCTCTGTTTTAGTAACAATGCTTGTAACTGCCTGGAATCTGTTATCATGAAAGATAACAAAATAACTGGACAATGTCTTCAAATGAGGGCCATGTATTAATACTGAGCTAATAGCTTCTGATGGACAGATAAAATAAATAGGTTTACTGCTGTCTTGGGGTTTTTTTTTTGGTAGGTATTTCTGAGGCACTTATCACGGTAGTATTAAAAAAAACCACAGAGTGTGTTCCACTTGTTATGTAAGGTAAATGGCTGAACATGTCAAAGAGTCACATGAGAGCTTAACAAAAATCCTATGCACTTCTACTTAACTGTCAATAAACAGACCTAGCGGAAACAGCGCAATGCCTGCAGCTTTCCATGTGATGTCCCAGTGCTTATTTCCCGGTCCTTTATATTGGGCACACACATGGTCAACAGCAATTTAAAAGTTATCACTACTCATCACCTTTAACAGCAAGCAGAGAAGCAAAGTTCAATGCAGAATTTAGGCATAAAGCAGAAACACAGCGTATAAACAGGAGGAGAAGGCGAACAGCCATAACTGCACAGTCGGGCAGCACACCCAAACACTGGTAACTGCGAGAGCTAAGGCATGGTCACATCCAGGCAAAGACGTGTGCGTGTTTCACGTAGGATATACATGCATCCGTCGATAAGTACGAAATCTAATTGCTGCTACCGAGACTTTTAAAACATATGCATGACTTGCATCAACAGGCATACGCCAGTACCTCTGAAAGTCCTGGGTTCTGCTGTGATTACTAGGAGATTTGAACAAGCAATGACTGTGAACTTAAAGGATCATTATTATATTAGAACAGGTAAAATCATGATCCTTTCCATGAAACTTCATGGACGTTCTGTCACTTGCTTCAGTGATGCTACTCACGATCCCTACCACTATATGGACCAGGAAATCCTGGTAACTTTTCAGTGATTCAGGTATTGCAAAGGGTACACAAATGTGGAGATTGACAAGCGGCATTTTGAACCTAAGTGCTTAGTTAGAACAGATGTGTCTCTCTTGCTTTAATTAGCAACCTTGTTAAAGGTAAAAACTGCTTCCTGTTTGTACTAAGCAGGTATTCCTAATCATTAAAATAGCTCTAAACTGCTTATTAAAATATTGTCATACAAAATATAACTAGTGCTTCATCACGAAGAAACTAGGTAATTTTACTGCTTATCACAAGCACATCACCAAAGTATTTTACCAGTGTAAATGAAGAAACATTATATATATTATTAAAAAAACATTTGTGGTATGCATTGTTCAATTAGAGAGAACTTCACTATTCTCAGGTGGTTTTCAAAATGCTTCTTTAAAAAACAAATATAAGTCTACAACAGTTAAGATCGGTGCTCGCTGTTAAATTTGAACTAATACTAAACATGTTTTCTACAGCCTTATTCAGAAAGACTGTCTTCATGAGTAAGAAAAACCTTTATGGAAACTGGCAATGCTTATTAGACCATATTGACTATGAACACAGGGACAGCAGATTAGACCGGACTGAAATACCGATACACATACACAGGGTAGCACGCTGCAACTGTTAGAGGGACAGCACACATGGAGACCTGAACATATGAAAGAAGGTGTTAAGCAAATTAGTAAGAGATGAAAGGATGGTTCAAGACGAAAAAACTACAGAAATTAGGCAGAAAAGAAAGAAACAAGACCAGCAGCAGCCATGACGGGAATGGAGGTGTTTTAAAGTGCTGTTGCATGTGACGTTTTAAAATAAACAATTCTTATTTTGCAAAGCGGAGTATGTTATATGCACCAAGGAGATGACCGTAAAATGAGATATGCAGCAAAAACACGGTAGCCCTCCAAGCATTGCTGAAAACAGAGAACCCTATGCATTTTACAGCCTCAACATGGTGTATATAAGTTCGGCAGAAATGCATAAATGGCATTGTAAGGCAATGCTACTCACTCGAGGTGAACGTTAGCAAGCATGGTGGCTTGATGATGATGCTTAGCATTGAATGGAATGTCAAAATAAAAAATTTGGAATTAAAAAGAAATTTGAAAAAGTAACATATATGCACCATGGCATCAGAAAATGACCATAAAATGCAAAAAGGTGATGGAGTGATATGGAACAAACCTTGGAGAAATATCGCATCCTTGCTGCATAAAGGCACCCAGGGAAAACCAAAGGCTGTTAAATATTCCAAATTCATTTGGAGGGTCGGGAGGATTCTGAGGGTCACGTGGTTCTTCATTGCTGTCTTCCAAGTGCCATTCATAAGGGCTGAATCTGCTGACTAGGAAAAGAACTACGCTGACGCCAATGTAAGCAAAGACTATACACATCCAAATTTCATAAGCCAAAGGATCCAGGAAAGAGAATACGCCCGGTTTAGATTTCTGAGGCTTCTTGATCATGATGGAGATGCCCAGGCTCATAAAGGGTTTGGAAAAGTCTATGACTTCTTCTCGCACCAGTGTTATGGTGAGGGGGGCAACAGCTATATCTGCTCTCTGAAAATGGAAAACAAACCCAAGTTAGTTACAAAACAGTTGCAACACAATCACAATCTAGAGTCTCAGGCTAACGAATCAAATGACAAATTACAAGAGTGAGTAGGAAACATTTTCTTTGCAGCCTATTTTGCAGTCACTGAAGTTAAGGCCTTCATGACATTGATAGAAAACTATTAACAAGAAAAATTACAATCAAATCTGTGCAAGGGCCTCATGACAGAGGCAGGTATTTACCAACACGTATTTATGTTTCTATTAAGTTAAAACAGATGAATAAACACCACACAAACTGGACACTGAGATGGCAACTAAAACAATCTCATTTTCTAGTAATGGTCTGCACCATCTGTCTTAAAGACTTTGGGCAAATTATGTGTTTGTTATATTTTAATCTTCTCTTCTCCGTTCTTTCAGCAAGTTCTCTTGCCCTACTGATTAGTCCAGGATCCTAAAGAACCTAAGAGAAGTAATCAGTCACTGAATTTCAGCTGCATTTGGGCACTACCACTTGCTTAGGTACTCCTTTGAATCCCCACTGCAATAAGGGATAGCAGATGGTAAACCAGTGGGGTAAGAGGAACCAGACAGCCCACCCTTTCTTTGTTCACTGAAGAACAGTAATACAGATTTGTGAGTCCATGAGAAGTAAACAGCCTGGGTTATCTGAGAAGAATGCAAAGTAGTATTTTTCAGTGTTATGTATGCCATCCTGTTTTACTGAACTTGGCTCTATAGATCTGTAACACAGGCCGTGCTCTGGGGCTGTGTCATCCGAAAGCAAAACCTCATCTCACTGCATCTGTCATTCACCAGTGTGTTGATATCCCTGAACCAATGCCCTTCCCTTCAATCAATACATCTTTGCTGGAGTCCATGAGAGGGTAAAAATGCGAAGTAAAAAAAAGTTACCTGATGAAAAATATCATTCCAGAAAAGGTTTTCAATATATTTAATTGTATGTGTATTTCTATACCAGAAAGATTCAAGTCATGCTGTTTAGATTGCCTAGCTTTGGTTCAGCCAAGTACTCAAGCAGGTGTCAGCATTTGCAAGGGAGGGGACTAGAACGTTAAAAAAATAAAAGCCTTTTTCATTTAAAAATTGTTGTTATGAGACGTTACATACCTATACACACTTTTTTGTGATCTTCTATTTTAAACACTCTAACTATTAGTGTTATTGATACTTTTAAAGATGGCCTTTCATTGGCAATTAAGAATTTCAGAAAGAAAAAATGATTCTTAGGAAAAGTTTAACTTACCAGTACCTAAACCACTGTGCACGTTTTAAATCAGATTTTTGTTTCCCACTATTAAGTATGTATCTCTTTTTGGTGGAAAAATAAAATCTGATTAAGTAGAAGTTTGAATAAAAGTTAATACGGAATGTTAATAAGTGATTAAAATCTGTGCCATAAAATAATTGAATATGCCTTTACGTAAATCTGATGGTGATGTACGTGACTGACTTAGTATCCGATTTGTTCCTCCTCCTAGACAGCTAGTTTGTTTTCTGTTTTTTGGTTTTGTTTTTTTTTAAGTTTAATAAGCAGAAGTGGTGAAGGCTTCTCCTAAGGTTAACCTCAGCATCACACGCTCTGTGCCAGCTGGTGCCTCAGTGGCCCTGTGCAGCCATGCCCGAGGCACCTGCTCGGTGTCTCACGGCTAAGGGCAGACCTGTCGGGCTGAGGACCGGCTCTCCACGGCCCTTCCCACCGCAAGCCTCCCTCCGTGAAGTACCCACACACAGAGCCCTCTAGATTTGCTCCAGCCACTCGGGAATCTCTCCCAATAGTTTGTACCAGCACGTGCAACTACAAGGCGTGTGTGCAAGTTCACTGCTTGGAACAATCAAATAAACCAGGGCTCCGCATGTAAGGAAGCCATCGGTGGCCCTTGGTGTACCCTCTCACAGGCCTCCTCAGCCCCTTTAGACATTCATGCCATACTAGGACATTGCCTTTCCCCTTGGGCGACTGCCTTCCTCGAGGAGAAAGCCCTCTCCTGATTTCTGGTCACCTATTGCAAAAGTCCAGCTTAACGTGGTTTCAACATAAGCACTGCAAATGGCGGCAGCCCTTGGATGCCGGGGTGTTTGCTGGCTTTGCAGATGCATGTGTTAATCACCTAAGAAACAGAGAGACTCGGGGGGACACAGGTAGAGTGCGATAAAGGGACTGGATGATGCTGGAACTTGTTCACTGATGAGTTCCTCCAAAACATTTATTTGTCTTGTGGCTGATGCTTGCTGAGCTACCGATAAACAGTAGCTCTCTGCAGTCAGTACGTACGAGATGCACACAGAATATCAGTTTTAAATGTAGTCGGGGTCCATGGCTGGCTGGAATGCTAAGCACTTTGACCATGGCTACTGTATATCATGTTGAATTAATGAGGTACTTATAAATTAATCCTTATTAGAACAAGCTATGATTTCACACAAAGTGAAGCTTAGGTGGGAGGCAGGTGCCTTCCTGCCTGGCACTTCTGCACATGGACAGCCAGCCTTGGAACAGCTCATCAAGGTAGGAAAAGGCTGGTTCAGCTATAAAAGCATTTAGTTTCTGTAGCATTTTCCTGGACTTGGAGAAATTTAATTCTCCCAAAGTAATATTTTAATTGCCAAAGTAGACACAGTGGAGCTCTTCCTAAGTGCTGATGCAGCGTGCAATAAAGTCTGTAGCTCCTTCATGAGCAGCTGAGTTCATGCAGGGTGTTCCTGTGGGGTCTTGGGGGGGACGAGGCTGATGATGTGCTGAAGCACAGACAAATCAGTTTTTCAAGGCCTGATTGTTACCATGTCCTCATTCATCTCATACAGTACGTATTTCTTCAAAATGAATTTAAATTGCATTTTAATATTACAAGCGATACAAATACTCATTTTCCTGATACATTTCTGTCTTCCTGCTTTCCTACCATTTTTGATAGGTGTTCAGTATAGTGGAAACATCAATAAACACCCTCATGCCTTAAATGAATATGGCAGCAATTGTTTTCTGCACAAGGAACAAGCATGGGTTCAGACATAGGGTCTCAGGAAACCATGGACAACCAGAGCACTGAGTGCACCAGCTACAATCCAGTACTCGAGCCTGGCTCCCCATCACTTCCCTGAATATTAAAGAGGTTAAAAACCAGACCACTCTGCTTATTTATTTAAAGATATAGTATTTGAAACTGAGAGCGCTAAGCACCCTAAAGCATCATTAATAATTGCAGCACAGTTGTGAGTTTCCCTCCCTGTTATGGCTGCAGATAAGCAGAACCCATAAAAATTGAGCTCGATTAAAAGGAACCCAACCACAAACATGCCCTTCCCTGTGCAGAACTGGAGGGGGGTTTAAGAACCTCAACAACTAAGCTTTGCTAATCACTCATGACTAATGGCGTTTCAAACATCATCTTCACTGCATTTGAGCCGGGCGAGAAATGTCATGGATTCCTCTGAGGCTTGTTCTGTCTTTGACTACTAGTGTGGGAGGGATGGATTTAGAGAGGACATGCAGCACAGAGGCACTACCCACTCTGTTCAAAGCTGACCCCAGGGGGCTGCAAACCTCAAGACTCTTAAGGGGAGGGAGAAAAAGTAGAAAATGGAAATATCCCTCTACATGGAGAAAGAAAAACAAGAAGATGTTCCACCTCTGTAATCCAGAAGGAGGGATCAAATTCTTCTGCTTACAGACCTAAAGATGAGTCTTCTTAACTTCAAAGCCACGCACTAGAGTCAGCAAGAGATGCTGGCTGTGCTCCTGCCTGTATGTGCTTGTGGTCATGCTCGCAGAACGGAACTATTCCTTTGCTTTTCAAGAAGAGCATCTGGGCTACAGTCACTTTGCAAGACCTTTGAGTGACGGGAAGCCAGCCAGCACCTGGACTATGTGCAGACCAAAACAGAGGGACACTGTCCCATGTCCATCAGGAGCCGAACCTCCAGGCACCCCAGAGGTGCTGAATGCAGGTACGCAGCGGCGTCAGAAGAGACTGCGCTGGAATGACGACTGACTCTGAGGACATTTTAGGACTTCCCAGTGCAGCCTGAGGTTTCCAGGTGTCAGAAAAGACAGCAACACATCACCTGTGGTATCTGCTGGTAAAAGCTACCTTGTAAAGAGAGCCCAGTATACCCAAGGATATTGGGGTGCGTTGAGAGGCCAGGTCATGGGGGCAATGTGTTTTTAGCACATTAGCTCACTCTATTTAAAAACAACAGCTGGTGTCTGACTAGCAACAGGCTGCATTGAAGTCTTAATGTGTGTTAGCTGAGCAGTATAAAAAGGCATTAAGGTGCTAAAACTGCAGTTGGCCTTGTCTGCTGCAGTTTGTCAGCGCTAAGTCCGTGTGTGCTTCTGTGGAGGCCCACAGCTCCTTCTGAGACACTACCACTGTATGCAGATGGAGAAATTAAGGGTACATCTGCTTTTTGAGCTGCGGACATACGCGTGCTTCCTCTGTCTGTGCTCAGACGCAGGTCAGACGAAGTCTGGAACCACGTCGGCGTGGCTCTGCACCAGGGCTGCGCTCCTGTCCCCCCGCACGGCTCAGCGCCTGCCCGCGCAGGCACCCCGCATCTGACTGTGCCTGGGCACTTGAGGGTCTGTTTGAGCTGCAGCGCAGCAGCATCGCACGACCGCCTTTGGGCACTTGTCCCTGGGCTTCCCTCCTGGAGAAAGCAGCGGTGAGGGGTGAAGGGGGAGCTTCTCCCGCTCACGGCACAGCCAGGCTCTGCCACAGACTAAGAGCACGTGGGATGTTTGAATTAGCCTTCCTCTCTGCCATGATTCAAAGGCTGTATGTGCCATCTGTAGTCTTTCTTCTGCTGCTGGGAGAGCCAGAGAGGCCAGCGCCACGCGAGGCTGGTGAGTCTGCTAAAGGCAGGGAGATGTGTAGGTGGTCCCACTCTGACAGACCGCGGAGGCTGTCTGAGTCCAGGGGACTGCCTGTCCTTTACATCTCTGCTTCAATCCTTTATGCTATTTTACATATTGAAACGCTTTTATAAAGACCTTTTTTTTTACCTGAAGAGAGTTTTAAAGGCTGTAAGGTCTGGCTGCTCTTCCTACTCCCAAAGCATTTGTAGGTACAATTAAGATCTGTGTCAAACCTACTGTCAATTAGCCTCACTGATGTGAAGAGCATCAGGCCCGGGGAGGGAAGGCTTTCCCTGGCTGAACAGTGAAGGAAGAACAGCAGCCTGCTATAAAAGGGAAAGAAGAAATAAAAGCCTACAGAAAGAGGCTTACCCTACAGAAAAGACGATTGTCTAGTGCCCAGCAGCTGGTGGGTACAAAGCCCTGAGCACCGGCCTCGCGGGGTCTGCGCGGTGGGAGGTGCCGCTGCTCACCAGCCCGAGCGGAGGGCACGTCGTTAGCGGGTGGATCACTGCAGGACAGCACTTGCCTTGCTGGTTAGATGTAAACAGTGATTCAGTCTCCCAGACTGAGAAAGATTAGCTACTTCCTTCTTCTAATATGTCCAGGGAAAAAGCTTTACCTATTTGCTATTTTTATTCTGTCGAAAGTTTCCGCTATGTTTTAGAAATTTCCCTTACTTGAAAAAATAATAGTGCTTGAATTGGTAGGTTTTTTTGTGGTAGGAAGAGTCTTATTTTGACACTATCAGAGTAAAAGGGCAAAATTAAGGTTTCCTTCAACCCGAACGGATGTTTTTTGATTTATGAAAACTCAAATAAATTTAATTTTTATGTCAAATTTTATTATCATTATTAATGATTATTACTATTATGACTACTACTACTACCACCACCGCCATTTGAAAACTGCTAACAAACCACAAGGCCCCATTAGCGCCTCTCTAACAAGAATTCTGGGTTCTCCTGTCTGAAGCAAAGGAGTTTGGGAATATCTGGTGGGCCAGAACTCCCTGCCTCCAGGGCTGCCACCCCTACGCTGCCGAAGAGCAATCCCTTCCCTGTAACCAGGTTCATCTGCACAGCCCATTGCAAAGCCACAAGGAAATGCCCAAGAGGGCCAGCTGAGACTGTCCTTGACTTTGGGGGGCTCTACAGCACTTTTAGGCCCTCCAACCAGTCCTGATGGGACACGAGCCAGGAGAGAGAGAGTTTTTAATGGGAATTATTTCAGTGTGTCTGTCCCCAGGTAATTTGTGACTCTCGGGACTGTTCCAGTCAGCCTAGTTAATGCAGACCTTCAGCTAGTCTTACACTGGAGTTGGGGCTGTGCTGGTCAGCCTCAGGACCTGCAGCGCTGGGACACAGCACCCCTGCTGCTTTGGGTACAGGTCAGTGCACACTGAGCCCCCTCCCATCCCTCCCCCCTCCTCACCATCCGGAGCCCTCCAGCGCAGTGGTCTGGAGGTTGCAAGGACCTGGCTGCACTTTCTCTCCTGACTCTACCCTGCATCCCACAGGAAGCAAGAGCGACAGTAAAAACGAACTGGCACAAACTAAACATTAATTAGAGTTAATTAGGGTTTTGGCATTAAAATGACAAGCCATTCACTTCCTATGACTGTCCTAAGAGCAATTTTAGAAAAGAGTTGTATGCATGGGGCTACACAAAAAAGGTCACAGCATTCAGAAGCAAGACTTCCCAGCAGTGCCAGGTGGTGGTGAGAAGCTTGTTGGGTCAGGAATACGCTGCATTTGACAAACGACTAGTCACTATTCATCACTTGAGACAAAAGCAATCTAAAAGATTGTGTTTTCTGCCACAGCTCAGTTCAGCTGCTGGATAACTGGTACCAAAACCAATCAAGCCCCTTTTATCCCCCATGCCTGTCTTCCATACATGTTAATAAAGGCATTTAATATCTAATCTCCCTCTTGTCTTCCCAAAATGGAATCCAGAGGAGCCAAATATGACAGTCATTTTGCAGACAAGGCTCACAGGGGCATCGGGGTAACGTACAGTTTTAGTTCCCTAATAAGAGTTTTAAACCCCTGGGAGATAAAGGAAAGTCAGCACATAAATGAGGTGCTTGCTCCAAATAATTAGCACTTCTAGAGCACTTTTCATCTTCAAAGGGCTTTGCGCACATCCTTGTGAGTGCGGTACACAGCCCCCTCTCAACAGATGGAGAAAGAGGCCAAGGGTATTTCATGACGTTTGCAAACAGTGCTCGGAATGGGTCTGGAGGGCTGGTGAGGTTTGTACTTGGAGTTCAGGGGCTGTTTTCTCTGCTTACAGAAAACCAGGTGGATTTCTGCACAGCTTGCCGGCTCAGAAGTTCAGCTCGGCAGGACGGGGAGCTAGCTCAGCAGCACTGGGCTGTAAGCATTAACCTGGGTCTACAGTCAAACCTCAAGGGACACATCTGACCTTTGAATAATTGAGCACTGCAGTGAAGAGGCTTCAGTAACTGAGCTCGCAGTGTGAGAAGAGGAGCTGTTGGGGGTCAGGGAGGTAAACATTCCTCAATTTTTCATTAATGAGAGAACACAGATGAAAACTGTGCTTCAGAATACAAAAGAACAGACCTTTTTGCTGGGGAAAATGGCAATGGCGGGGTGGGTTTGGGGCTGTTTTAAGGTTTGGTCTATGGTGCCTGCAAGGCTGGTTTTTGTTGGTGTGGAAAGGTCACAAGTATGGTCGGGTCAAGGGGAAGTGTCTAAGGCTCAGTTTGATGCTAAGGAGGCAGAGCACTCTGAGCTAGGCTCGTCCCAAGGGGCTGAGGAAAAGGCAGCTGCAGCCGACCTGTTTATCACAGAACCAAAGAACAGTTTGGGTTGGAAGGGACCTTTAAAGTCCATCTAGTCCAATCCCCCTGCAGGGAGCAGGGACATCTTCAGCTGGATCAGGTTGCTCAGAGCCCCGTCCAACCTGACCTTGAATGTCTCCAGGGATGGGGCTTCTACCGCCTCTCTGGGCAGCCTGTGCCAGTGTTTCACTACCCTCAGTGTAAAAATTTTTTTCCTTCTATCTAGTCTGAATCTCCCCTCTTTTAGTTTAAAACCATCACCCCTTGTCCTGTTGCAACAGGTCCTGCTAAAAAGATTGCTCCACCTTTCCCACAGGCCCCCCCTTTCCTGCAGCCTTCTCTTCTCCAGGCTGAACAACCCCAACTCTCAGCCTGTCCTCACAGGGGAGGTCTTCCAGCCCTCTGATCATTTTTTGTGGCCCTTTATCCAGATGGATCTTGCATCGCAGCAGCAGCTGCACAGGCTAATCTTACTTGGCTCAAGTCCCAAAGGCAGTGGCCCATATCCTACCTTTCCTCCTCTGGTGTAGACGGTCCCTGTGCCCTGGCCGCTAGCAGTAATTTCAGGTTCTCTTTTGTCATGCCTTTTGCATATGGTGTGATTATTTTTTCAAATGAACAAACTGTTTCATTGCTTGTCACTTGAAAATATATCAAAACGACCCAATTACAGCTAATACTCTTGATATTTTTTGAACCACACACAGGGAAACTGAGGGTTTAGGTTTCTACTGCAACGTAATTATGCTTGGAACTAAACTAAACCTTTGCTTCAGAGGTTCTCGATGCACTTGTATTCTCTAAGAGAGGTAACACTGGTTTCCCAAATCATAACTGATGCATGGGGAGTTCAGAAGATTTGCATAATGTCAAACCTCAATGGAACAAGGGAAATGAAGATATAACACAGAGGTCCAGACCAGTTTACTTTCTCTACTCAGTAGATTTCCCTCCCTCCCCTTAATACAATACTACAAAAAACATTCTTGCTTACATAAAACATTTTGAAGTCAAACAGGTTACCAAGTATATAATAAGGCATCAGGACTGACTGCTCCAGAATAAGAAACTTTCATAAATCTAGCAATTACTTTAAAAAGACTGATTCATTTGAAAAGCATTATCTCACCAAACATTTTGTAAGAATGATAATACGTTATCCCAAGGAAATTTTGAGGTGACTTTTAGAAATTGCACTCAACCATGGAACAAAAGGAGGCAATGGAGATATTCACTTCTGCTCAGATATTTTTAATAAAGGAAAGCTTGTTAAAAATAAACCGTAAAGAAGATTTGGGTGGAATCACAAATCATCTCATTAGCATTTGGGGAAAAAAAAAAGTAAAGATGAAATATCAGCTTGTAAAGTCTTTTCTGCAAAGCCAATTTTCTCCCCCTTCCATCTGGTTTATCTGAATTCCAAAATTCCCATTTTCAAAGAAGTTTCTAAAATGGCAATTCCGGACTGTTTTTGTTCTTACTAAACAAAGCAATGTACACCCAGTATAGAAATATAAAGAGCAACGCAATGAATTAGACTTTTTTTTTTGTGTGTGTGTGTCTTTTTTGTCTGACAGTTGATTTTTAAAGCCAAACCCAGGGTTTAAAAAAAAAAAAAATGATGTGGGTGTTTTCACACCCGCATTGCTTCTTACCCTGAAAAACAACCATGGGGCTAACTGAGTCTTTAGTCTCTGGTCAAACACAACCTGCCATCAGTGATCCAACAAGGGCCAGCACCACAGGATCAGACCCTTAACAGGAGGGGCATCCTCCCAGCACTTACAGGACTGATAGAGAAAAAGAAGACATGGCAAATGGAAAAGCAGCACATGGAGGGCAAAGTGGAAATTCTGCTGTAGACAAGAATTTGAAATTTGCCCAATGCCACTTGTCAACACATATATATTGTGGACTCCGATTTGCAGAACATCAGTACAAAAGTGAGACTTTCCTGCAATGAAAGGATTAGAAAAGTAGACTATAAAAATGGCACTACAAAGAAATACCTAGAATTTTAAAGATGGTATTCAAACAGATGATCTTTATTTTGCAGTTTATTAACTTTGAGCATAACTTTTTATAAAGAACATTAAAATGAAGGTTAAGAGAAACTTACCCCATAGACCAGTTCACCCACCATGCCATTCCATATCTTAGTCTCAGGGTCCCTAGCTCCATATTTCCCATCTCCAACAATTGACAGTTTGTATTTTATTCCAACATGTTTTGCTATTTCAGAAGCTAAGTCTACACAATATCCTTCATATCTCTCATTCCCTTCTAGTTGTTCATGGTTTTTCTTATACATTACATATGGTGATTCCTTCGAAACAAAAGTAAAGATCAAAAGTCTTATGAATGTAAAACACAGCTTTAAAACACACAAAATGAGAGCTGTTATTATCCTTTATATTACTGGCAATTATTTACAGTATTTCCTGCTTTGGTACAGAAATTAGAAAGACAGACTTTTGCAGTTTAAAAATCCTTGGCTGATCCTACAGCCACACATACTATTGATTTTACTCCTTGTATGGACCCATTGAAGACAACAGGACTATTCCACTTTAGGAAAGTGACACTTTCGTTTGCAGGATTAGGCCTGATTAGACAGCCAAATAGTGCCACTGTAGTAATAATTCAGCTTTTAAAGGACTGACATACCCAACACCTGTACCATGAAAATAATTTCCTGAGGCCCCAGTAGCGTAGAATGGGGCTCTGACGGAGATATTTTCAAAGCAGCCTAAGGGAAGCTAGGCTAAAATCCTCAGCAGCAATTTTGGTCACTAAATTCCCTTAGCCTTCTTGGAAAATTCTAGCTGAAATGCTGATTATATCTCGCTAAATCCATAGAAGTATAAAATACAATGCTTCAGGAAATAGCATAAAATTGGCTCATGCTTAGTAGAATTGTAACAGGCATAAAACTCACAAACAATACTGTACAGAGCACATCTGCTAGAGGCATTGGGACTGACACAGGTACCGCTGTTTATGAGACAGGAAGACCTTTACTCCTCTGGAATTGCACAGGGATAGGTCGCTTTTCACCCCGTGCTAGAGCAGTTCCAGTTCTCTACAGGCTTCATTGTGCCACCCTCACTCAGCCCACAGGGGTTGAGTTTACAGGAGCTGTACCTGAGTGAGGGGCGCAAGATTCAACCCTACAGCAGGAAGGCCAGATCCTGCAGTCATTTACAATACATGCATAATAACTTCACTTATATGAGGCATTTGATTGAGTTCAAGTGTCTGAGAAGCAGCAAAGCACGATGTAGAGCTCAGTGAGCTCTTCTTGTGACTAAACTTATTGATACACATAGAGGTTTGCAGGGTCAAGCCCTCAGTACATGCCTGGAAGACACTGAGCTTTTCAGTCACTTGAAGTCACACAGTATTCCTCACTTGCGCCCTGGCAAGGTGTCTAACACCCCTCAGGAGCTATGTGTCTTGTTTCCTAAGCACAAACACACTAAGAACACAAAACTTACCAAGATGGTAGTGACTACAATAGTTCTGTTCTCCACGGATGAAGTGTCATTAGAGGGCAGCTGATCTAATGCTGGCACAAATCTTTCATACTCGTTCCAATAACCAGCCTATAAAAATGGAGATTATTACCTCTTTACGTACGTTTACAAGGACTCTCGTGCATGAACTTGTAACAGGAGCTGTCAAAACATACGGCTTTGTAACACTTATTCATGCAATGGTTTTGCCATTAAAGGACTACGTTAATTTAATGTCTTTAAAGAAACCACATTCTCAAGTCCCCATGCAAATAAATACAAGCCCTATCTAAGTGAACATACACATTAAATTCTCCCTATCTAAATTCACATCACCATGACGCCTGTGGAATAAATTCCCATGTATTCACAGCACAAGAATATACTATAGACAAGAAAATAAACTGCACAGCACTCTGAGTAAAATTCTTTGATTTTGTCATTTTTATCTATATCCTGCTGCAGTTCAGACAGTGAATACAGTCCCTGCAGACATGCCCGAGCTAGCTTTAGAGAAGATGCACAGACATCGTTAGCAACGCAGGCACAGTAGCATTACCTTCAGTATGGGACACAAAACCCTCTGTGAGCATGAGGTAACTATTTGTCAGCTGGCTTGTGCTGACCTTCCCAGTGCTGTGGCTACATTGCTGTGCTATCACACTAGTTTTGGTATCTCTGCACAACACAGAAGTAACACTTTTGTCTGCACCGTAAACCCAGCTGAAGGGCTGGGCCATGTCGACAGGTATTTCATTATCAAATATGTGCAGAAGAGTTTAAGGAGCCTCAGCAGGTGACCAAGCAGGTTAGGGACCTATCGCCAGGTGAAATCAGGGGGATTTATGTGCCTCAGCCACACAGACCCTTCTCTCAATACTCCTGAGACTCTGTCTACCTAATTATTTTTGAAAATCTGTCCTAAATTTCTTTTATAACAGGAATCTAGGCAACTATCCCACTTAGGATCTGTACTTTATTTAGGAGACAAGAGAATGAGTAGCAAATCCTAATTAAAACCAAACTTATTCTCTGTTAATATTAGAAGGTTTCTAAAATGCACTGTCTCCAGCTTCACTACTGCTCCGAGGCCTGTTACAGAGAGGAAGGGAAAGACAGAGAGAAATTTAGGAGGCAGGAACATGACAGCAGGTATTACGCTCAGCAGTGGAAAAGCTCCAGAAGGGTTTCAATGGTCTGAAGTTGACATGGAAACCAATGAAGATATTAAGCAGGGTGAGTGGTTTGGTCCAGGGATGGAACAGAACAAGGTTCCTGGGATCGGGAGACAGCAAGAAGGTGGGGTTTCCTCAGGGCCCTGTTATTACAGCGTCTGTGTGGTACTTTTCAGTTTCATTAGTTTGTTGGAATAAATATTTGTAAAGACGTGAAATCTGGATGCATATCTTGAAACTCACCTTCCGTGATCCAGCGGCTTTCATTTCATACACATCAATTGTATAATTTGTTCTCCGCCCATAAGTGTCGAACTGGATGTTCCCTGTCATTCCTTGAACTTGCACCTTAAGGGAACGAACAGAAAAAACATTTTAATAAAAGATCCATTTCATTTTTCTCTCCGTTACATTTTACAGGAACCCACCAGCTTTAGCACAATTTTATCTATATAAGAGACTTGCAGCACTTTTGACACAGCCAGTTATACTCTTCATAACAAAAGCAAGCCCAATTCTCTCAGTTTCAGCTGTACCTAGTCTTTGTTTGTTAGTACTCCGCTGGTGACTCACTACCGCAGAGTGAGCTGCATTCAAGTATAAGTGGAATTAGCCCTGCACGTATGTTAAATGGGAGGAAGACTGACTCTGCCATGCTTAGTCACACTGGTTTCACGGATACAGCACGGAGTATCTGCGAGGCGCGTGCACCAATCCAATACCACTAAGCCCCTCACAATATGGTACAGAGTGATTTGTGATATGGACCAGAATCTCATATCATTGCTCATTCTGGGAAGTGCTTTATTTTAAGCTCAGTCCCAGTGTAGGAGGAAGGAATGAATGCCTTCTCTGAATGAGCACAGACAATTGCCTCTACTCCTTATGGGGTTTTGGTCTCAATGTGGATGGATGGGTGTATAGACGGTAAGTCATTATCATTACCTACTCGCATGAATCATCTTAAGGGGAAGTATAAAGTACTTTGTTTCAAAGAAAAAAATCTTTCTTATTTCCCTGTATGAAAGGGTGAGATATTTCCATCTATCACTTATCAACACTGACAAGCTGTCATCTCAGGCAGAAGTCTGAAACTTCACTAGGGGTAAATTAGCTTTAATATTTAGCAAAATACTGCAGAAGTTACAGGAAGGGGTGATGGAAGACTAGTGAAAGGGAAACTGTTCAGGGCTGGTGACTGAACTGCTATTTACGGTTTAGAGATGGTGCAATCCAACTCGTTACGGTGGACAAGGCTACATAAAACATCCAAAACTCCTTGGACTCCAATTATCCAGTGAGCCAAATGAGACTGAAATACAGAAAGTGTGATTTTTTTTAGTCAGTAAGTGGATTTCAACCTTTCTTAAAATAGTCTATATCATTTCAGGGGTCTGGAAGAACATGTGAGTTATTCCTGTTTCCAGAAAGCTAGAGAGGTGAACGGGACTTCGAAAGCCAAATTTGCCCCTAAGAGGTCCTACCAACTGTGGATTGAGCCAATGTATTTGTAGGGTAGTTGACACTAAGTTGCAGCCAGATGTGAGCTGCGGTGCCTGCTTTTGGCACTTGCTGGAAGCTGTCTGGCTACTTTAGCACAGCAGTGACTGGATGTCTCAGCTGAGCTTGTTAGGCTGGCTTCATCCTGAAGCGTATTGAGACATGAGCATCGTCCACTTGACACCTTTTGACTTGAAATTTAATTTGTTTCTATCTTTGGTGGGAAAACTCAGCACTTCCCGAAATCTGGCTGCACCGAGGCAGGAAGACTCACCAGGACTCAGAACGCTTCTGGTAGCAGCATGCGGAGGCAATCACAACTGGAGTGACTATTTATAACTGCCCAGATCTGTTCACATAAACTGTCTGCCACTGATCTGATGTCTTAGAATCAGCCTGAGACATACAGACATGCACAGTTTTCAAGGCTGCAGGGAAGCATTTGGGTAATGCCTGTTTCCCTTTTGCCAGCAGGATGGCTATAGCGTGGCATTGAACCTTCTGCTGGCACAGGGTATTTCAAGGATGTCTTGGAAAAAATATTCTGATCCGAGTTGTTGCCACAGAGTGGACAGGAAACATTGTTAAATCAAAGTTTTTTTTCCTGGAGCAAAGATTCCAGATCATTCTCTGAATAGAGGGAGAGAGTGTGAGGGACACGATGGGGTCTGGAAGGCAGTGTGGGATGATCTTGGGTAGCACTTGGAGGTGTATATAAACCTCCCTTAGATGGCTTTGAATAGCTAGAACAATACAAGACAAGCAGCTGAAAGTCAAGCTTCTGCATTTTTTGCTAATCATGAGTTTGGCTTTGTATATCTTATGAATTACGTTTTTCAAGTAAATTCTCGTGAATAAGGGAGTGCCCTGTAGCAGTGTTGGTTTTCTTTGTTGACATGAATACCTCATAGATTCTTTGGAGGAATTTCATGTTTTGCTCACAATTAAGTTCAAATGTACAGCACAAATTCTTTAACTATTGTGAAGGCTGAATTTTAATTAACTTCTCTTCAAAAGTGTGTAATGCTACATTAGCGAACGTGCAGTCAGGGCATTTGTTAGGAAGTGACATAATGGCATAAAAAGAGCTCTGGCAATGCAAGACTGAACCATCTCTCTCACTCTTAAGAGTGATATAATCTTCTATAATTCATTAAAACCTTCTGATATAACCCTTCCAATTTGGTAACTGAGAAAAAGCAGTAATTAAGCTAAGCGTACAAAGGCAGACCTAGGATTTGTTTATACCTAACATCGGCTTAATTCTGATCTCACTCACTCCAGTTCTATTTCCACATTAATATAATCGATTCCATCAGGTTTGTTTTAAGAGTTATTTGGGCCAGATCAAAAGCAAACCATGCTCCTGTCTCTTCTATCTACAAAAACGCTATCCACTTCTTCCTGTTGTCACTTGCTTTAACACACACAGCAGTCTAAAAAGAGTTAAAAATCAACAAAATCAGAGACATAAGTGAGGTAGGATCACATGCAGTTACTAGTGTTGGGGATAAAAAATAGGCCATGCAGAAGGTAATCAGGCTGAGTGCAAAGTTATGCCAGGAATCAGAACTGGTTTGAGGCTAAACTGTGTCAAGGTTCACACTGGTGCTGAAATCCAGCAGTATTGCTATGACCGACAACACTTTTTCTACCGCTTTAAACCAATCTGAGCTGGCCTTTTACTGGCAAATTATCAAAACTGCAAACACGTGTTTAAGTTCATAAATACAGGTATCGCTACAGGATTTACAATACACATGCTGAGGACTCAGTCTAGTTCTGTTAGTCAGATTTGCAGCCTCAGCCTGACTTTAGAAACCCGCAGTACATGTTCATTTGCAAAATGGCTCATTCCCACTCTCACGGGAAGCTGGGGTGTTAGGGGAGAGTCAGATTGTAGGTGCTTCGGTGCGAATAATCAGGCAGCTGCTGCACCAGTGCCAGAGGGATGTGATTTTGGGCAAAGTCTGAGAGCTAATTTGTTATGCCTTGCCTTCTATTGAATCTATTTTAGCCATCCTTTGGAGTTTGTTATTCAGTCCATTTTTTCTTCCTTTCTTTCTTTTTTTTTCTCCTGAGGAGCTGCAGCTGTTTGTGTGAGTACAGAAACTCTGTGTACATGGAGTAGGATGTAAGCTCGGCCCCAGCAGAATTGCTGCTGTTGTGGAATACACACAATCATTAGCCACTATGTTCGCCCTTACCATTTTCAGCGCTCTTTCTATATCAATTCCTTGGCTCCATGGTACTGCAGGGTTAGCCAGGCAGTCTCCAGCACTACCTCTCCTGGAGACATCCACACGCTGTCTTCGGAGGTAACGGAAAGCCTCTGCTATGACTAGGACCGCATCATGGGTCAGTGCAGATGTATACTAAAATTGATGCAAATAAAATATGGTGACAAACGGCAACCTCAGAATTTCCCCTGGTTTATCAGGTCTATTCCTTCTCTTTGTTAAAATACTCTTAGAAGAATCATGCTTGCAAGGCCTTTTTGCCTGCTCTCTGTCTTGCCGCAGGTGCTTTGTGTAGTGTAACAATTCCATCTATTTCAATTAACAAATTAAAAATATCTTCATTTTGCATAGCATACAGCAGCAAAACAACAAAACTAGTTTAGAGTTGCATAAAGTTTAAATTTAGTCGGGAGCTTGCTCATCTAAATGAGACCACTACAAAAGTCTGCCATTCCATGCTGACCCATACTGCTACCAACAGCAAAGAGCAGCTCATATTTGGTTTTTGCTTGGAGTATTCTTTTTCTTTTTAACAAGATTGCCAAGGCAGACAGTTTTGAATTGAAGTTAGCATAAATCATTTCTGTTTGGACCACAATCCTGATTAGGTAGCATCTGTGGCAAGGAATAGATTAGATTACTTTTCTTAGAAGACAGCTATACAAGCAAGTAATCACAAAATACACGTTAGGCATTACATCTCCTTGGTAATTGCCCATCTGCCTTCTCTTACTCCACGGTAAATCTTAGGAGGGTGGTAAGCTTTGTGTAGCACCAACTCTTCAACAAAACCCCAGCCTCCTTAACTACTTGTTTGTGTTGCTGTTAACTTCATCCATTGCTCGTCTCATGTACCTGGTGACACCTTCCAAATTTAGTATCACCTACGAAATAGCACGGAGGTGGTTTTTTCACATTTCTTCCACATTTATTTGTTTGTTTGAAAGTTCTTACCTCCTAGAATGGCCCAGGCTTTGCATATGACATCACTGGTTTTCACTGGCATTAGAGCATACCTGTAACTTAGGGGTCTGTGCGCAGGAGACCATTTCAACATGTACATACTGGGAGTAATTGAATGTGCTCGGCGTGTAAGACCAGATTTCAAACCCCTTGTACCTGACCCTTCATATTTCCACAGTGTTCGTAAGAGAATGAAGAAAAAAAAATATAAGGGGGTATCTGCATGTGCTGGTGTGCCTGCCCTTTGCCTGTCTGTGTGATACCACAGAGCTCCTGGCTCCCGAGGAACTCCAACTTACGCTGGCGTCAGTGCCAGAAGACCTGCTGCCCATGCACGAACTAGAAAGGCTGAGATCCCAAGTTTCAACTGCACATTCAGCTACTCTCTTTGTGGATAAGACTTATCAAATCCGTAAGAAGTTAATTCTATCCTGTAGGGCAGGATAGCACAATTGGTGGTCCGTACTTCTTAAAAAAGTGTATTATCTTATTGCAAGCTCTTCAGTTTGATATAAAGCCTTAGGAAATCTACACAGAACAAGGCGTGTCTGCATGTGCAGATCAAGAGGATCACACCTGATAAAAAAAGAGTGCAAAGGTAGGATTGTAAAGGTTACACAGCAGCCATTCTTACCGAGTTTTAAACAACAGCAGTTTATAAACTCTTAGGGGCTGTGTGTGGGGTGGCTCCTGCTCTGACTGTATCTAGGTATAGGTGCTCTTTTGATCCTGCCCACCTTTTCCTCTTCCTGTGATGTTTTTCAATGATTACCCTCTCCTCTTTTAGTAGGTTAACAAAGGTTATATGTCACATTCCACACAACAATATAGAATCTGATAGTGATTTTAAAGTATTTGTTCTGGTATTAAAAAAATCTTGTAATAGCTGTCCAATCTAGCACTACATGAAACTTACATGCTGATAATTTTTTCAGCAGACTGCATCAATTGTCAGTAACCTTAATGCAGTCCCTTCCAAGTCATGCCAAGAGAGCTATCTAATTTTCTACTTTATTTGAATTCTACTTATAAATGCATGAGCATGCAAAGAGAAAAAAGAGAGAGAGAAGGGAAAGGCTGATAAAATACAGAATAAATTAAACATCAGGGCTTTAATCTCTAGGCAATTTTATTTCCTAATCAAAAATATTGTACATCAATTTTTAAGTATGCTTTTTGTCTGATTGACAAATACCGTCACATTTCTATAATGAGCAGTACATTTGTGGAAAGGTAATGTAATCTTTGTGTTTGTACCATATACTTAAGATTCTTTTTTAAGGACGGAGAATAATTTTTCCCTCAAGGTAAATTGCTTTCAAGTGGAATAAAATCTTCCCAGGTTAACTTTATATATTTCAGAGCTTTTAAGATTAGTACGATACTTATCTTCACTTCTGCATATCTGCTAGGACGCTTTAGAAAGCAGGCGCAGGTCCTAATCAACAGGGAACAATACACTAATCCGAGTTTTGTGGGCCTCTGTTTGCCTTTCTCTGCTTCCTCTGAAATGCCAGCAAGGCTGTGGGATGGTGAGGGATTAAGATAGTTTTCCTTCCCCACAGAAATCACACGATCCCAGGGATGGAAGAGTATGCCTGCGAATGGCACTGGCCTTCTGGCAGCAGAACCGTGTAACTGGTTCCTACTCTGTCTGTAGTCCAACCCAGCCCTACTGCCTACCCTGGTATCACCCCGTGCATTGGACTGGGCTAGATTTTTCTTTCCTATCCAGTATTTTATGCTTCCCTGATGTAATGGGTTTGCGTGGCAAGGTTTTGGTAGCGGAGGGGGCTACAGGGGTGGCTTCTGTGAGAAGCTGCCAGAAGCTTCCCCTGTGTCCGACAGAGCCAATGCCAGCCGGCTGCAAGATGGATCCGCCGCTGGCCAAGGCTGAGCCCATCAGCAACAGTGGTAGCACCTCTGGGATAACGTGTTTAAGAAAGGGAAAAAGTTATTGTGCAGCGGTAATTGCAGCGAGAGACAGGAGTGAGAATGTGTGAAACATTTGTGCAGACACCAAGGTCAGTGAAGAAGGAGGGGGAGGAGGGGCTGCAGGCACTAGAGCAGACATTCTTCTGCAGCCTGTGGTGAAGACCACGGTGAAGCAGGCTGTCCCCTGCAGCCCATGGGCAGTGGAGCAGATGACTGCCTACACCCCGTGGAGGACCCTATGCCGGCACAGATGGATGCCTGAAGGAAGCTGTGACCCCGTGGGAAGCCTGCACCAGAGCAGACTCCTGGCAGGACCTGTGGCCCCTGTAGAGAGAGAAGCCCACGCTGGAGCAGGTTTGCCTTTAGTGACCCCATGCGAGGGGACCCACGCTGGAGCAGTCGGTTCCTGAGGGACTGCACCCCATGAAGGAGACCCACGCTGGAACAGTTTGTGCAGAACTGCAGCCTGTGGGAAGGACTCATACTGGAGAAGTCATGGAGGAGTGTCTCCCATGAGAGGGACCCCACATTGGAGCAGGGGAAGCATGTGAGGAGTCTTCCCCTTGAGGAGGAAGGAGCAGCAGAAACAACAGTGTGATGAACTGACCGCAATCCCCATTCCTTGTCCCCCTATCATTGGACAAAGTATCCTTGATGCACTCCTCAACTGGACAGTGAATAGCATCCCCTCCTACTATAGAGATGCTGAGTCAGAAAAAAATCTGGTGGGGGTATTAACAGGTTGTGAGTCTCCTAATAGCAGTAGCCTTTAGTTCACCCAATCTACAACAGTTTCAGTGAACCTGGGTCTTCAATTGCAAAAAATCTGGAAAATCTATTGGTTGCAGATATATTACCCACAGTGTTGAAGCAAAGGACAGTGGTGCAAAATACAGGGTTAGATTACGGGGACAACTGTCAGCAGGGACTAGGAGGTGGTAGTGGCTCCTCAGTGAATGCAGAACTACTTTATTTTGCACGTGAAATGCTCTATTAGCATTCAAATGGACTGATAACCCACAGTTTGCATCTAAAACCTACCCTAACTAGTCCCCACACCCACCCCAAGACTAATCCAAGAAGTTTAAGTGAAAAATTTTTATATCCACCGCACGATGACAGGATTTGCAAGACCAAGCCTTTGCCTCTGAGGAACTTCCACCATGGGGGGCATTTGTGTCCAACTAACAGCCTCTGCCTCTTTCTCTCTTCTGGAAGGGCAGTGAAAGTTGCAACGTATTCTAATCAGGGATCTGTATCATACGCATGCACACACCTGGGGTTAAAAAATCCCAAATAATTGTTAAAAGCAACTCACATAGTCTCCATCACTGTCAGGATAAATACCTTTAATGGTGAGTTTTTGGCTTCAGGGAATTCCCTTTCATCCAGCCTCACCCAGCGTTGTAGAAACTGTTGAACCATTGGGTTTTCATTATTAACAATCTGGAATCCAGTAACGTTGGCACCTCCATGCATTACTCTCTCCAGAACAATGTCTGTGAAACCCTGGGAGGACACATGTAGAAAACAAGAATCATTGCCACCCAAAGTCCCTTTTTTTGGGCTCAATTTTACCTGCTACAAGCGTAGCACAAAAGAAATGGATTAATTTCCCTCCTGTTAGCCAAAAATATTCTACCAAGGAGACAATTACTATCACAACTTGGATTGTGTGATAGCGGCACAGAAGAGAATTTAAAATGTCTTCTTGTTCAGACCTTTGCGACAGAAAACTGCCTTGTTGTGTTGTGGCAATGTGGCACGTAATATTCACTGGTCAGAAAGAAAACTGGGGAAACTTGAAGTACTATTTCCTCTTTTCTCCTCATCACGGTGCGAATTGGTCAAAGACCTCAATCCCATTTGTACAGCAAGGTGTGCCTAAAGGTTTGGCGCTGGGAGCAGAAAACCACTTAGCAGCCTTATTGTTCCATGGAGGCAAAGCACACACCTCTTGCTAGGCAGTTCTGTCACAGCATTACTTAACATTTCACCTGCAAACAGAATGGTATGATTCTGCCCCATTCTGTTGTTATTTATACCTGAGGTGGTAAATTAGTGTCTTTTTGATTAGTATGACTTGATTGCAGTCACGTTTATCTGAATGTCAATGGTTACACATGCTAAAAGGTAACCCAGAACAAGAACCCCTGTACTTATATGCACATGCTAATCAGTGAGATCATGACTAGTTCTTATAATGCAAAATGACATATCTTAAAGTCATACAATACTGCTAATAAATAAGGGTATTTTAAAATTTGGTGGGTTTTTTTTTTCTGCTTTAATCACACCAAAACATGGACACAGAGAATCTTCTACTAAGTGGTATTTCTAACTTGAAAGTGTGAGTTTTGGAAAAACATTCTTCCACTGACAGCAGACACGGAACCCAAAAATTAGTCTTGCCGCAGGATCAATTAAAATATAACACTTTTTCTAAGGAACTCTAGCAGATGGTGTTTCAAAGGCAGCATAAACATCTCTGAAAGTCAATTTTAGAACCCAGAAGAAGCTCTGATACAGATAAAAACATACTGTCTTTCTTGGTAGGTCAACACATACACAGGCACCACCCTACACTGAAATACAAAAGGACAGCTAAACAGCCTGGCTGGTTTACTTGATGAAATTATTCTAATTTGCAGCTTTTTACCACTTATTTTATACACAAATATACTACAATTATTTTTCCTGGACTGCTAAATTTCAAATAGAAGATTACAGTTATCAAGTGTCTTATTTATGAGGATACAAATTTGTGGAAAACATATAATTAAATTATTATTTTAAAATTAGTAGAGGATATGAGCTTCTTAGACAAAAGAAAGACCATAATTGAGTATAAATTACTATAACACACCAGTTCTAGTATTTACTGAAGTAATTTCTCAAAATCCAAGAACTCATCCATGCATTTCCACTTTTGCTGATTAAAGTTGCCACAACCTGAACAGAATACATTACCCTCTAAACCTTAGTTATACTTGTAATGGAGAAAAGTCCTTACCAGGTTAGCTAACATGTAGTGATAGCCTCTAGAATGTTTGCCGAGGATGACAACCTGTGTGAAGAAAAAAATTACACATTATTCAGCTGTAGGAGGATGACTCTTAACTAGTGGAAAACAACAGAGAATGAACATTTTGGTAATCCTCTATGCCCCGTCCATGGGCAGCACGAGTATCACAGACCTGACGACGGAGTCATTTGAGTTTTTAAAACACACAGGCAGAGTACAAAGAAGAATAACTCACAAGGCTGAGAAGACTCCGCTTGTGGAGATGACCTTACCCAGCAATCTCACCCTTGTGATCACAGTGTCTCCCTTGCTGACCAGGTTGATGTTAGTTATCAGTTCAAGTATTTTCACTCTGAAATGAGGTAACACTGTCTACTCACTCAGTAACCTCCTGTTTACTTTGTTCCTTGTTTGAGCAGTGTATGAGAGGCGGGTGACACAGCTCAGCCACTCTCTGTGCTTCTAACTGTGCCAGCACAGTGGGGCCGGTAGGCTTCAGGTCGTACAGGGGGTTTCCTGCCATGAGAACCGTGTCCAAGCCTTGTCATATATGAAGGCTTCAAGGTAAATTCCTAAAGTTATAAGCATTGACTTTCATCGCCTTTTGACAGCTTTCAAAAGGCCTGAAAACTTGTTGCTTCCAGTGCATCTAAATGGAACATCCGACCTTACCTTATTTAGACAAAATTTATACTGAACGGGATGTTGCATATTCCACTAAACCAACATCTGCCCTCCCTGACCCCACTTGGGCATCCCTCTGTACAAATGGAGTCATTAAATGGAATCACTATGAGACAAAAAGCATCAGGATGAACTGAGCAGCCGGATTCTGTAATGGTATCGGGGAGGAGTGGAGGCAGCACTGTCTGGCAAACCTGAATTCTGCCATCCTGTGTGCTTGTCCCCCACTCCAGGGGGGCTTTTTCAGAAAGGGCGGCTTTTCAGAAAAGAGGAAAAACACAGTTCCCATGTCTATGCAGCTGACTCCATCTCACCAGCAATACCCCTTGTGCAAGATTATGCCACTGCATTTAGCACTATTCCCTTGCCTTCAGATTATAATCTCAGTAACATAAATCCAGTCCCACAGCCATCAGGTGGAACAATGTCCAGCAGTAAGACTTTAATTAATAATTGTGGTGATTATGTGTGTGTCAGGACAGAATCAAACTTCCTCAGACTTGCTGGGTTAAATTAATAAAAGTTAAAAATAGCAAACACAATGCTGGCGATACACCACAGGTGTATCACTGACTATATCCTGTGAGCAGCTCAAATGAACAAATGATGCTTTCTGATGGAGGATCATCTGAAAATCTCTACATACCATATGAACGTACTTCTTCATGTCACAGACAAATGCTCCAAATGCCGTACTCTAAAAGACATCTTTTCAACATGACCATTTATGTCTTTGCTAAAAACAGATGACATTTGAGTCATTGACTTTAGATATACTGCTGAGCCGGTTGAAGTTCTTGATTAAATTATTAAGTTCCCAATTGCCTCTTTGGGTTGTCTTGTCCTTAATAGATGCCATTTCTTTTAAATTCACATTTAATTCTGTAGGAATTTGCATACTTCTAGCAGCCTGAAAATAAATTGCTGTTCAGGTCCTCTTGAGAACTGCATGTACACTCTATTGGTAGAAAGCATCTGCTTTCCTATACTCACATTTGTTTTCTATGGAAATGTGCAGGCTTCCTTCAAATCACCTGGTGTGCATGCTATTTGCATACTGAATTCTCTGTATGTTTTAATTTCACCTTAAAGGCAGTGATTTACTTTTAAATGGTCAGAGACAAAGGACTTACTTAACAACAACAATAATACTCTTTGTCGTTTTAACCTTGTAACAAATAAGAAAGCTTTTACATTTCTATCTAGAAATGTGTTTATTTAAGAGAAAAATACCATGACAGATGAAGTCAGTGGCTGCAAGAAAAACATACATAGAGCTGCTACAGGCATCAGGAGCAATACTGCAAATAGGAAAGGCAGGACTCATTAGCATAGATCAGACTCAACTTCTGTCTCATCTGTTGTCATGTCTCCAAAATGACCAGAAATAATTCTGTTTAGTCCCTTAGAGAGGTCAAACGTACTACAGTCAAGCTTTAATTCATAAAGCATCTTTCAGAAGTGACCTGCCAGTATTTCTACTCACACAATCAACCATGTTAGTTCATAATTATTTAATTGGATCTTAACAATGTTTTTAAAATTCACTACACATGCTGTCCTAAATCTTAACAAGCACAACTCTCCTCCTCCCTCCCTTTCCACCCTCTACCAACACTGCCCGGCATCTTGAATGGAGCTGCTGGATTAGCAAGCCCAGCAGAAACAATCACAGACATCAGTGTTACTCCTGGGGGAACGAAGGGATGGATAAAGCTTTTTTATGAAGAAGGAAAACAGGAGTATAACAAATAAATCTCGTCAACTGCTTCTATATTGTGAAGCTTATATAGAAAGTGGGATATTGAATAGTGGTGGTGAATAGAAAGCCGGGATTACAGGACAAGGATTTCACAGAGCTACATGTCTTTGGTAAGTTTCACTTCCTCGACTTAATATTGCTTTCACCTTGACTGAAAGAAAAGCTTGTAAGATTTTATACTGAACAAAGGAGGAGGAGAAAAAATGGCTGAAAACTATCATGAATAATTCAAACTTCTGATCTCACATAATTCTTGCCTTGTAGATAAAAAGATCATAATGTCAGGTTTGATATAGAATCAAGTAAAGTTTGTATTTTTAATTAACTCTTCAGATATTTCCAATTAATTAAGAGAAAATCTAGAGCGTACATAATTAAAATGTATCTGGTTTTAAAATAAGAGTCAAATCTGCTGGCCAGCACCAGCCTTACGGGAAACAAAGATTTATATGCCAGATCTGAGAAATTAAGTCAGCATTGCCAATTTTAGTTTTTCATTTGCCTGGGGAAGTTATTTTTTGAATGAAAGCATAAAGACAACTTGGTTTCCACTGCATCAGTCATCATGATAATAAACAGGCAACTACAATTTTTTGCCTTACCTTTTACATTTTTCTTACAGTTTTGGAAGATAGCATTATAGAGATTAACTGGCTAATATTAAATTTCTACAGAGGATGTAAAGCGATAATGATGATTCTCTCATGATGTAGTCAAAGGCGACACAACACTGAAGAGGAAGGACAGTGAAGAGGAAGCAAAATAACTTTAATACTAACCTCACAATTACTCCATCACCTTTGGACTTATTCCATTCTCAAATCACAACCACAGCTAGATCCTGGTCTAGAACATGGATCTGGGTTGCTGGGCCATGAAAATTAAATGCTGGAGTTAAGGGTGAAGAGAACATTACGAGGAGACTGCTGAACTCTTAGATGAAAGTCAAGACAGGGAAGACATTTTAAACAGTAGTGATGGAGACAGATCTGGGGGTTTCACCGGAATATTTCTTCAGGGACTTGACGAGGAACTAGACTGGTTAGAACAGAGTGTGTTGGTGAAGAGTAGTAACAGATCAGAGGCAAGGAAAGAATGGGTCAATGAAAGACAAGACTGTGGGCTCAAAAGTGATGGAGGAATAGTGCAAGCTTGGTAAGTGGGACTGAGCAGTCGTATTTTGTCTTAAAAATACCAATGGTTTGTCTATGATTCATAAAAGGAAAAGATCATTTTTCTTTTATAGATGGAGGAAATCACAGAACAGAGGTTGGCAGGGGCCTCTAGAGAGCGTCTCTTCCAACCCCCTACCTCAAATCAGGGGCAGCTACAGCAGGCTGCTCAGGACCGTGTCCAGTCAGGTTTTGAATAACCCCAAAGGCAGAGACTCCACAAGCTCTTTGGGCAGCCTGCATCAGTGTCTGACCACTCTCACAGCAAAAATTATCTTTCTGATGTTTAAACAGAATTTCCTGCATTTCAGTTTGTGCCCTTGCCTCTTGTCTTGTCACTGGGCACCCCTGAGACTCTGAAACTCAGCGAGACTCTCTGAGAAGAGTCTGGCTCCATCTTCTTCATTCCTTCCCAACAGCTATTTGCGGACATTATTAATATCCCTCCTGAGATTTCCCCTCTCCAGGCTGCACAACCCAAGCTCTCTCAGGCTTTTCTTGTATGTCAAATGCTCCAGTCCCTTAATCATTGTAGGGGCCCTTCGCTGGACTTGCTCCAGGATGTCCATGTCTTTGCTATACCAGTGACCCCACAACTGTACACGGCATTTCAGATGTGGCCTCACCAGTGCTGAACAGAGGGGAAGGATCACGTCTACGGATCTGCTGAGCATGCTAATCCTATGCAGCCCACGATGATGTTGGCTGCCTTTGCTGTGCGAGTGCAGTGCTGGCTTGTGCTCAGCTTGTCTGCCAGGACCCTGAGATCCTTCTCTGCAGAGCTGCTTTCCAGCCAGGAAGCCTCTGCCCAGTCTCTACTGGTGCATGGGTTCATTCTTCTGCAGGGGCAGGGCCTTGCATTTCCCTTTGTGGAACTTCATGAGGTTCCTCTCTGTTCACTTCACCAGCCTGTCAAAGTATTGCAGCACAACCACTTGGTTTATCAAACACTGCTAATTTGGTATCATCTGCAAACTCGCTAAGAGTGCACTCCATCCCATAACCTTCAGATCATTGATGGCAAGGTTAAATAGTATTAGCCCCATTACCCTTAGGGTACTCCAAATCGTAACTAGCCTCCAGCTGGCCTTTGTGTTGCTGATCACAACCCTCTAAGCCCAGAAGTTCCAGGATCCCTTTTAAATCTACCTTACTGCTTCATGGGCTTTGATTTTAAAGAGTCATTGAAAAATATGAGCTAAGAGGATATGCTTGCACTTTTACCTAGAGAAGTAGCTATCACTATTTTGACAGCAGTGAAAAGAAAACTACCACATCCAATTAATACCTGTTTGGAGCTCAGCTTCCCTTCATTTGAATCCATTGCCATCTGGACAGTTTAGTCTGTTTAATCAAAATTATTTATCATCCTTTATTTATAAATGAAAAAAAGAAAGAAAAAAATTAGATCACAAAAGTACAAC